CTGTTCCAGCCTAATGATTCTATGATTCTGTGTGCCCTTGTTTTGATTAAGTGACCTATTCCATATTCTGATTTGAAAGTCTGTTCCATATTCCACAAGGAATGTCTAATCTCATTTTGCAGCAGTCTCAAGTGTAGGAAGACCTGGTTCAGCCCATTTCAACCTTATATACAAAAGAGACAGAACACAATTCTAAGTCTTTTTTATGTCTGCAAGTTGCATCTTGCCTGGCACAAATAACCCATCATCAAGAAAAGATATCATAGAATCGTAGAATGGGTGGTGTTGGAAGGGACCTCAAAGGTCATCTAGTTCCAACCCCCCTGCCATGGCAGGGACACCACCCACTAGACCAGGTTGCTCAAGGCTCCATCCAACCTGGCCTTGAACATATTTTAAATACAATTAAAAAGAAAAAATTTGCTCCATCGTGCCTGCACATTTTTTTATAAGCTATGACCTTAGATGCTAGGCAGTTAAATTACTTCATAACCAGTCCTCTTAATGGATTGTACTGCGATAAATCTTCGCAGCAGGGATAACACCATTGTCTCAAAAAAGTCAGAGAGTCACTGATTTTTGAAAGTGGGAAGGATACCATGGAGGCATCGCCTGATCTTGCTTTTAGCCTGCTTGCATAACTGTCCTGACCACTGCTGTAAATTAGCTGTTGGTCTAGATAAATCTTTGTTCTGACCCTGTAGCCATCCCAGTGTGAATTTTTGCTGAGAAAATACATATGTTTTTCAGGACTTGAGCATTTCCTTCAGCAGTTATTCCCATGGTCTGTGCTAACGTAGCTAAACTGACACTGCAGTATGTCTCTTGGAAACTTACTCATGAAGCTTATCTGCAGGAGAAGGGACTTCAGACAGTGCTAATAAACAACTGGAACATCAGTTCTCTGGTGTGATCTAGTAGATCCAGCCTCTCTCAGACCAAGAAGGAGGGAGGATACCTGTGAACAAATACTGTATTATTTTCTCTTATTCTCTCCTGCTGTGTAGCACTGTAAAAAACTTCCTGTTATGTTTTGTGAATCTCAACCTCTGTGTTTAATTCTCTGACAGCTCCAAACCCTCTTCTTAGAAGTGTATATGTAAGAGAGAATCAGGTTATGAATGTTAGGACTTGGTCAGAAATTATGGGTGAATTCTAGAATATGATTGAATGCCTGTTGCACTTCTGCTTTGGATTTAATTTGGTTCGTTCTCCTCCTAAAAGTTGTCCTTTCACCTGGCCTTTTTTTTTCCTTAAATGGTGCTCAAAGCTGGAAATTGTTCCTGATTGTATAACTGGAATATGCAAACACAAAGTCGATTACTGTACACTGCTTGGATTTATAAGGAGAACAATGGTGGGTTTTGACACTAAGAGAACTCTTTTGAGGGTATGAGTTAGTCTCACACGTGGAGATTAATTTCACCCCGTAACTATAGGAGAGCCAATGTCCCCATAATGCATGTAATGGGCAGTGACATGCCTTTTTTGATTTTCTTTTAATTGTAAGTTTATAGGTGTGCATGAGACTACTTTGGTGTCAACTATCTGACAAGGCTTTGAGGCCACAAACATGTTCTTCTATCCATGTGACTAGTTTGAGAGTCAGCGCCTACCCTTGTGCTTTTGTTAACTGCAGAAATCAAGTTTGGAAGGGGGAGGGAAAGTCCAACAGTGTCACTAAACACCAAAACAAATTTGGGACAGAGCAAAAATACCCTTTACGTAAGTGTTTTCTCTTTTACTCAGGTAAACAGAATGCACTGATAATGGGTAGAAAAACCTGGTTCTCCATTCCTGAGAAGAATCGTCCTTTAAAAGACAGAGTTAATATAGTGCTCAGCAGGGAGCTCAAGTATGTATGATGAATGATAGGCCTGTAAAACAAATAAGTCTGCACCTAAAAGTATGTGTAGCAATACATCATAAAATAATTCTGAATGTAACATTTTTGGTATCTGGTTAGTTAGGAAGCGTCTCTGCTGTTGGTTCTGAGTGATATCACTACCTTTAATTTTTTAATTGTTATTTTTATTTCTTTTATTTTTTAATTAATTCAAAGGTAATTGTAATTACTTTGCATAATAACTACTAGTCCTAGCTCTACACACGAACCCATCTGACAGTTGTCAGTAGTCTTTCTGACTCATGTATTTAACTGTATTTCTTTAGTACCTGGTTAGATTGGTGGCTCTTAAATCCCTTTTTTGAAGTTTATTTTTAGTAGCATTTAAGGAAAAAGAACTGTTCTTTTTCAGAGCTCTCTTCTTGAATGCATCACCCACAGTCATCAAATATTCTTAAACAAAAATGTCCACTTATAAACGGTTTATTTCTTTGGAGGATGTTGGTGGGTTTGGGGCTGAATATGTAGAGAAGTGGGGGATAGGGGCTTTTTGACTAGTTAATTGAATGAAATATGAATGTTCTAGAATTCAAGTAAAAATCTATATTTAATTTTATAGTTATCTAAATTTCTTAGTCACGCTTTTTAAAAAGCATGATGTAAAATTTCAGATCTGTAATTTATAATGTTTCTTAAGTCACAGTTACGATTAAACTGTGATTTATTAAACAATCCTGCAATCAGGTGCAAATTCTAACACAGTTTAGCAATAATAGGTATTTCAAAATAGTTAACTAATGTGAAACATTTAGTTATTTGTGAATTCAGCAAAACACATTGTATGTCTAGATTGTATTGATTATCATGATGAATGGTCCTTTAATTATTTAATAGTAAAACTTTGCTTTTTCTAGGGAAACCCCAAAAGGAGCACATTATCTTTCCAAAAGTCTGGATGATGCTTTAGCTCTTTTGGATTCTCCAGAGTTAAAAAGTAAAGTAGACATGGTTTGGATCATCGGAGGCACTTCAGTTTACAAGGTACATTTAGAGTACTCCTAAATGACTCATTTTCTGTGGTGGGATGAGGATGGCTCAAGCTCCTATTACTTCCGCTTTAGGAAGTGTTTTTTCTTCACGTGACCCGGCAAACTCCCGTGATTCCAACAGAACAAGTCTTGGAGAGTGATATTTCAACTCACGAGTTTAAAATATTTATCTAAGTAACCAAATGTTGCTCTTGCTAATGGTCCAGTGTCATACAGTCACTGCACTTTTGAGAGCTTTTCTTAAATATCTAAATTGTTAGGTTTTCAGTCAAAACCCATATTGTTATGTTTATTTTACTGAGAAAGTAGAGTGACTCTGCAGAGGATGTGGTAAAAAAAAAAAGGAAAAATGATCCAGCATTTTTCGCCAGAGTGTGACACTTCATACAGATAAGAAAAGAGGATTTAGAGAGAGCTGGCAGGTGATGGTGTCAGCAATGAGAGGAGATAATCATACAACAAAAGGTAGCACTCACTCTGTTTTCCTATCCAGCAACCAGAGGCCCCTACTGTTCCCACTCCCCAGGTTTCTCTTGATGTCTAGAGCATCTTGCTATTCAAGTGTCAGTTCACATGCCAAGAAGACAGTATGTGCAGCTTTCTTCTCAGGGACATCTTTGCACAGACGAAGCCCTGTATAAACTGTCCTGTTTTCCTACAAGTGTGATAGTCTTCCTGTCCTTAACTAAGATACTAGCTGTGCAGCGTGAAGGTCTGGAGTAAACCTTATCTTGTTGTTTCCCTGTGTTTCCTCAGTCATCTTTCTCCCTTGTCCCAAGCCCTTCCTCTCATTTTCTATTATACACATACAGAGTTTGGTCAACTCTCCATGCCTCCACCCACGTCTCTAGAGTTGTACTTTAGCCCCTCCATAGTCAGGTTTCTGCCCTTTGACTCTCTATTGATTTTGTCCTCTTGTTAAGTTCTCGTATAATTTGTGTTTACTGTCAAACAGTACCACACAAAAGATTATGGCCATCAACCCCAGTTCCTTTCATATCAATCAGAAGAATTTTAAATAAGGACAGCAGTAAGCATTCTTTCTTCTGATAGAAAAAATTGTAGTTATGAAATTTTTTTTATAGTAATGGAAACAGTTCTGCTGTCCTTTAATCATTACAGCTGTGCTGGGAAATATATTCCACTTCTTGTTTGGCTCTCGGACTTTAAGCATGTGCTGAAAATGCCGTCATGCTAGTGATAGCAAATTAGGGCTGATAATATGCTTTGTATACATGGTGGGAAAATACATTTTCTGGTATTTCTTGCTTTTGCAGTTTGTACCTTTCATGAACCTCTTCTCTGTGTCTTAGGGAATGCATCTTTTACAGTAAAAGAGGAAAAGTAGTTAGATATTGCTAAGGTTGCAAGAAAAATAAGATACATATGCAAATAGCCTGTAAAACACTTGTTCCGCTAGCTTTTTTTTTTAATTTGTTTTATAATCACTTTTGCATGTGGTGAAGTCCACCACACATTTTTGTCCAAATGCATTCAGTCTATAATCAAGCATTATATAGAAGTAACCCGTCCTTCAGTCTCAGCTGTTAAAATGCCTGCTTCCAGGCAGTGAGTAGCAAGTTTATCACTGGAGACAGTTTCTCTTCAGACTGAGCATAACTGCCCAACATGAGCAAGAGACTGAATTTCGCTTCTGCCTGTAGTTCTGCAGGATGCATAGTGTGAGCAGAAGCATTTACCCATGGCAATGGCCAACTACTCATGTAGTGCTGCGAAGAGTGATTATTTTTGCTTGCTCTTCCAGTAGCATCTGTGTTGTAGACTTCTGGTTTAACTATTACTCCAGTGTCTGGCTGATATTTGGTAGAAAACAGTGGCATTTTTTAGACTATTACTCGCCAATACTTAGATTATAAATAGGCAGTTTTGATAGAGAGCACTTTTGTAACATGTTACTTGTGCTGATCAGCATAAGGGAATATGACTTAAAATTTCAACTGTTTTCCCACTTTCAAGCATCTGCTCAAGGTGTTTCAAAGGAATTTCTAATTCATTAGGGAGAAATCTAATTGTTTCACACAGATTCCTGCGGGAGCTGCGTGAGGACACTGACATGATCAATGTGATCTAACAAGTGAACCTTTATTTCCGTGTTTCCAGTGCAATTTATAACCCTCGACCACACCCAATAAATACTGATTGGCTTCATCGCAAATAACAGCCCGTAGCCCAACCTGATTGGCCACATTACGAGTCATGTTCAAGTCACGTTCACAAATGTTCACACCCATCTTCTTCAAGAAATTAAAACTGCGTCATTACTGGCGGCTGTCTCTTCTCCTGCACCTGTAAGATGTTCATGCCCCCTGCACCAGAAGTTGTTTATGCTTTCAGCAGTTCCGGTACGTCCCAGCTCGGATTCTCTGGAAAGGCTGGATTGTTCACATGTCCCTTATTTCATAAATGTCCTCCCACAGATTCCTGCATTCAAACTAGCTTTGTGATCTTAATTAAAAGAGTTTGATGGAAAGTATACACCTATACCAAAACTGCAGGTAATGTTTTTAGTGCCTGTATTAAAGATGCACAAAGGATTACAGGAATATTTCCATTATACCATGTAGAAATGTGTGGAAAGTAAAATAGCAATTGGTACTTGAAGTGAATAATTTTATTCAGTAGTTGTAGGTATTTGCTTTTAAAGCATTATTTTGATCTTACTACTCTGTATGGCTCAAAGCTTTAGAACTGCTTGTGTTTATAAGTACAAGCCTGTGATGGAGAAAGTGTCTGTAAGTACTTGAGCAAATAAGTGCAACAGGAGTGGTTTGATACATGTAGTGCTGAGGACATGACATTTCCACTTTTAGCACTTTGGGGAGTTTACCCCAAAGTTCACATCTTTCAAACCAGGTAGAGCTTCATGAGGACAGACCTTGATGAGGAGGTTGGGACACTCTGCAAAGCACCATACTTTTCTTTTCGTCTGCCCTCCTGCACATGATGGTTCCAGCCACTATCAACCCTTTTCTGTTCCTGGTCTTGTACCTGGCTCCTCCTACTCAATTACAAGTAACGCTACTGTGCTTGCTGAATAAATCCTCTTCTGCATCTGAGCGTAGCCACGCAACAATGCAGTAGAGAGCTGTTCTGCACCAGGAGGAGCTAGTCCATTATGATCACAGTAAAAAAGCACCCAGATTCTGTTAAGTGTCATTTAAAATGATACTTATGAGAGCAAACACTTACAAAGGACAGAATAGTACAAGTAATCTTACATCCCTGTAGATGTTGAAAACTCCCAACTTGTGTGGCATTGAACAAGCCTCCAAGCCACAAGCAGCATGCTGTACAGACCCCCATCTGTAGAAAGGACTACCCCAGTTTGGTCATTCAAGCTATTCTACAACTTTCTTACAAGAAAACAAGTCTATTCGTCATTTCTGCTGTCAAACAGAAAGGATGTTCACATCAGCTTCTTGCCACTCTTTTAGATAAAGGTAAGGACACACAGGTGGTATGACCATTGGTGCCAAGTGGGAGCTGCCTGCAGGCTCCTCTGCTACAGTTTTCTGTCTGAGCTTATCCTGTGGCCAGGGAATATGCACAGCACAGTACAGGCCTGGGTCTATTCAGGTTAATTGTTATGTGGATTGCTAACTCTTTATTTTACAGTTATCTTTCAGTCAGGATCACTACAAAAGGGAATGGCAAGCTCACACATGCACCTTTTGCACTTGCTTTGGGCAGGCTGCTTTGACAGCCTGTCACAGGCTGTTGTGGATGTCTTGAAGGGCTAGTAGGAAGATGGGGGCTAATGGCATTTTTGGAGTCTTCACAAGAGAGCTACAGCTGCTCTGCCCTGGTTGATCTGTGGCCCTTGGCACAGGGGTTGAGCTTAGGCTGGTGGCATCCCACCGGTGTGGGGATGCTAGGGATGAAGAAGTAGTTTCAGAATGTATTGAATATGAGGGTGTCTATGTTTAGCCTGTACCCGGGGCTAAACGTTAACAGTTGTTCTGTCACTCGATGAACCCTCACCAGTCAGGGAGAGGAATCATGAAAAAGGAGAGAGGACCTGTAGGTTGAAGTACAACAGATTTAATGAAACCACCACTAGTACAAACAGAAAATACTTAGCTGAATGAATATGCTGTCATCAGAGTAGTCCTCAGCAGAAGCAGAGGAGGAGCAGGAAGAACCCTAGCAGGAATATCTCACAGGAGCTCTCTCTCTTCTCAGTAAACCTCCTCGCTTTATAATGAGCATGACATTATGGTGTGGGCTACACCGGTAGCTAACTCAGGTCAGCTGCCCTGGCTGGCTTGAGCCTGCCTAGCTTGGCTGGCCTATGATTCTATCCCAGCCAAACCATGACAGAGGGTGCACCACTGAGGCCATCTGTCAAGAGCTACTACAACAGCTTCGCTGTTACCACACAGAACTTCAAGAGTCCGTATCATTATTCAAGAGGGTTGGTTATTGCCCTGTGGAGCCTTTTAACACAGCTCCTAACCTTAGCAACTCCTGATCAGTTAGTCATTTTAGGATGGGGAGGGCCACCATGATAAGGGTTGTTGTCACTGAGCTCCTTGAAGCAATCCTCCAAGCCGTGTTTATGTAGATGGAATGAGGAGGGAACATCCCATGATCTTTCAGGCCTTTACTCTATTTGGTTTCCCACACCCTTTGTGGATGCTCCGGGCAGCACCCAGAGGTTCTGCGTTCCAGACCCGGGGTAGCAAGCCAGAAGGCATACCAAGGGTGAGCCATGAATTGAGGCAGATTCACATGTTCCAGGAAGTTTCCAAAGAACCTCAGACTGAAAAGGTGTGTGCACATGGTCATTCAATACGGCTGAACATGTACCTTATCTGAAATACTGCATCCCCTCTGTGCCTCATGCTGCCCTGCCCAGGTACCGTGCTGAAACACAAGCCTGGCTTATCCAGATAGTTGTGCTGAGGTGGAGCATCTGCCTGGCAGCCTGAGCAGAGAAGGGCGCTCTTTGGGACACAGGTGTCCAGCCTG